GTGTAGGTGCATAATACGACATTATTTCTACGCATTTTTCGCTTTAAAACTAGATTTTCGGGAAACCAGTAGGCTATTTTATATGAATGTAATTGAATTTTCCCGTACGTATTTGAATTAAGCTGACGCTTCCTTCCTTTACCAGAAGTTATTCTCATCCAGACTGAAATGGACAACACTCCCAGCGAGATTTTCACTTGGAGCTTAGACGTTTCAGGATTGTACAATGCGCAGTCTTGGTTCAAGTCCCGACGGGGGTGTCGATAGGAGCCAGGTGAGGCTGAAACTGCTGTCCACTGCAGCCCGAATAATACCAAATTTGGGCATACAAGGCTTTGTGAAATTCATAGGAAATGTAAGGTCGAGTCATATCATTGTGTACAAAAATCGAATACACGAAATAGTGTGAATAAATTTTAAATTAAGTATTGTTTTCGAGACTATCAGTAAATCAGTAGTATGAGATGTATTCACCCAATTTCGTTTAAGGTGGGAAAATTCTTCTTCTACCAGTCCTTGATCGCCTCAAACGAAATTGTGTGAATACATCGAATACATTTCATATATTATTTCTACACATCAATTGGTTGACAAGTCAGGCTTTCCTATAAAATGTTATCACTCAACTAACCCAAAGAGAGTACAGACTGTGTGTTGGATGTCTTTTGCAGGAAATTGATATGGTGGCCGGGCCCAACCTGATCACAGCAAGGCTGACCACGGATTTCACCAACTTACCACCTTTCATGCGTACCAAGTTCAGCATGGTCTACGTGGAGCAGCAAGTCGATCTATTCCACACCTTCTTCTTTTTTCTCACCTCCTTCGACCCGTACGTGTGGCTCGGCCTGTTGGTGGCGACGATCACGTTTGCTGTCTTCCTCATTCTGGCCGACATAATCAGCCCGAACAGGAGTCGCTATGACATTCTGCACTCGCTTTATGTGGCCTTCGGTTCGATGCTTCAGGTGGGGCAAGCGAGTTGAGCTGTGCTTTGGGTGTGTATTTTTATGTTAAACTCATTCCCTTTCATAGTGCCCGCCCAACTGAAAAGCGTCACATAAAACCATCTTTCTTGACTCGTTAACTTGAATTTTGTTGTGACGATGATATCCTCGATGATCTGATGATGTTCTTCATGCGACGGACGAAAGCTCAGCACCCTTTTTACCGGAATCGAAAGAGATTGTCTCGGAAACAGCGTCAGCATGAATCTTCCTGTAAGAGCCGATCGACAGCTCGTCAAGAGGAATCCGTCGCTGGTCGTCTTCTGGTCGAACTGACCTTTGAATCTCTTCACCCAACACTTTCTCTCGAAATGGAAGTGAGCTCAACAAGTAGAATTCTCCCACAATGACATGAGTTGAGCTGACGTTAACATTCAATTCCACAGAGTCTTGCATTCCCTCAAGTGGTTCTCATCCCGGCTGGAGTGGACTGCAGTTTCGACCTCGCATGGGTCTTATCAACAGCCTCAGCGGGAGTCGAACCGTGACCGCTAACCACTCGGTCACATTGCTACGAGTGTCTTTGGGTCAAAGGGCAAATGTGAACTTGAAAATGAGCAAATACAAGAAGAGTATTTACGGCTGAAAGAATATATATGCTTCATTCTACAGCATTCACTCGCCTCGATGATGGAAGCTAAAGTACATCATTCAAAAGTATATTTTTTAATTTATATTATATTTTGCTGGCAGCTAATTTTGTAAAGTCAATTCACATTCTGGGGTTACAAACAAATGTTTTTTGAGCACGTAAGTCCTAAGTCCAAATCCTCAATCTTACAAACCGTGACTAAGTCGTGCCCTGTAACCCAAAGACACTCTTCTACCAGTCCTTCATCGCCTTAAACGAAATTGGATGAATACATCTCATACTACTGATTTACTGGTAGACTCGAAACAATACTTAAATGCAAAAAATAATGTCAGATAGTTGGGATGTCTTCAAGCTCTATTGTTGAAGGTTATTATTCCTTAAAATGCTGAGTAGACCTCACCTTTCTATTCAATATCGCATAAGCTTGCTTTCCAAATGCCATTCTCATCCTTCTATGATTGTGAGACAATTCGACTACCTTAAATGAACATCTCATATATTTGTCTCTCTATCTGCATGTCTGTCTGATGGTCTGTCTTTTTTAGTTTATAAGTAGACTTTAGAGACCGCCAGTAGATCATATAAGTGAGCTGTATCTAGCCTATTTCGTTGAAGGTGATAAAGGTGTGACTGGCAGTTTGATTTTCCCCAATTCTGTTGAATAGACCATTAAATTTAACACAGACTTGCTTTCCAAAAGGTATTCTCATCCAGGCCGGCTTCGCCCAGGTCTCATCAACACCCCAAGTGAGACTCGAACTATGACATTTGAGCCTACAATTTCGGTCCGCCCTTGGCATATTGCAACTTTACATTCTGTAGTAGGACTGTCGATGAAACAGAGTTATATTTTCTATATCAATCGATTACTTACTTACTACTTATAGTTTGTAAGTAGGCTTTATAGAGTATCTGAAAATCAGATGAATGCGATGTATTCATCCGAGTTCGCTTAAGCCGATGAGGGTCTGGTAGTTGAATTTTCTTTTTGGTAATCAACACTCTGCAGAATTCAGTAGACCCTTAAGGCATACCAAACTGCTTGTGGGAAAACTCAAATACCAGTCGTCCGCATAGGCCTGGTTACAAATGATAAATAAGTACAATTTCGGCCTACCTCCTTTCTTGCTCTTGTCTTTTGGGTTGATTGTTCAGGGAATCTCCTTTCGTCCACCCGATAAACCCTCCGCCCGCCTTTTGATCTGCATCTGGTGCTTCTTCTGCCTCCTCTTCGTGCTCTCCTTTGCAGGAAACCTGGGCGCCCTCTGTCTGGACCGTCTGACGACAGCCCACATCAACAAGCCGTCCGACTTGCTCAAGCAGAGCGTCTACAAGTGAGTATCCCAGAAGTTGAAACCCGTGGCCGTGGTAACGGAAAAGCATCCTTCGGGAGACATGGTATAGTCTAAATGCCTGGATCGGCCTGACAACACGCGTTATCTTGTCGTTGGTACATTTAGGTCCCACGAGCCTATGAACCCCCTCCCCACGGGGCGGGACTCGAGCCCAGACCATGTAGTGTAGGCCTTGATAGGGTACCACCAGAAGGCAGGTGTGGCATGCAAAACGGTACCGAATTTTTGCTTAGAGCAGGAATAAAAGAGGAAATTACCGATAGGTGAAGATGTCTTTTAAGTTGCATGAAGAAGCGATTCGGAGATCTCCCTCATCAGAAGACGACGATTGATTCCGGTTGTTCTGCGGCTTAGATTGACCGACCTTCAGGTTGACACAGTAAACATGAAAACAGGAAAGATTTTCCTTCATCAAATGACGGACATCATCAGACCTGGAACTCATTCTTTTAAAGATCTCGACTTAACAAACACCAAGTCAAGGGGACTCTCAGACTTATCTGATCTCTTATGCACATTCATAACTAAAAAGCAAAAATGTATAAGATTAGGTGGATAGATATAGCATTGTGTGGCTAATTCGCTCACAAAGTGGTCAGGATAATGTTATTTTAATGTGAA